TGTGTTTTAATGTTTTCCTTTTTTGATGTGTTTGTTGATTCTTTGTGGTCATCAGTTTTTCTTGGACTCTGGATAGAATGTTTGTGCATGGCCCGATCCCACATGACGGTTCTTTTTGTCCAGAGTCTTCTTTGGGAGCTCGCTTCTCCATCATTTTGGAGCTTGTCCATGTCATCGACATGCGTCTTTGACTGTCCGATTGGGTCATGCGTTATGGTAGAGTCCGATCGTCCGGACTGTGCGGTGGCCAAGCGTCTAGGGGAGGGCGCAGCGTCTAGCGCACATGGCACATGGCGTTTCGAAGATGCCGGTGATTTCCTTCGTGTCCGCCTGAATTCTCTGCATGTGGTAGAATTCACCGTCTTTTCTACAAAGTGGACGCCTGTTTTCTTCGGCCGAAAGCAAACTCATAGAATCTGACATCATCTGATTGTACATGAGTGGGTGATTTCGGCGAAAACCCCCCAAGAGGAGTAAAGGAGTTGAAAGGGGAATGAACAGACTTTTTATGTCAGGACTTGCTAGAAAGAGAATTTATGATTGTCAAGAAGGAAGGCCAGTTTGTTGTTGCAATATACTGTAGTTGGGGAGTACTCTATTTGTGCAACCTAGGACGCACTGAAAGGCATTTTTTGTTAACAGCCGTACCCTTTGACAAAACCTTTCGCGAATTCTTTTGATTGATAGGGTGTACTACTTGAACTTAATTTAGCTACAAACATCGGCTTGATTGTTGTTGCTAACGGGTCAGAACAACACGGTTTGTAAAATTGTGAATTTCGTTCAATCAAACCAGCATCATTTTGCCTCATTTTGACTCTGAAGGGTCAAGTGAAGTCTATACAATCTATACTCCGTATCTCATTGTTTGGGCTTGAAGTGGCGGTGGTGGTTGTCCTTTCTTCCAACAGCAGCTCTTCCTGGGTGATGTGAACAGCCGCGGACCGGGACGGGTTGTCAAACCCCATCCCATCCGATTCACGCTCAAACTGGATCGCATGTTTGGGGGGAATCAGGACCCCATAACCTTTCCCAAGAGACTCCATGCAGGGAACATCATCGGAAAAGAAAAGCAACAACAACGCATACATTGACTCCTTTTCAACCACCCCAGCCGATGGATAAATATGCACCTCCAGCCGATGAGTGTTTGAGTGTCGCTCCGCCAACAGTGGCGAAACTTCGTCAAACTCGTTCCAAGGCTGGGCCTCCAGCCGCTGCCGCCACCCGGGCTCCCAGTCCCTTCAGACCACGCCACCAGTTCTGCGCTGCAGAGGGTGGAGAACCTCGATCGGATGGCTGAAGCTTGGGCGTCTCGGAGCAAAACCTTCGGAACTTGCCAAATTGCCGGAGGTGGGAGGATTTGTCTTGCTCAGATCCTTCGAAAAAAACCCGGGATCTGATCTTCGGATCCAGTTCGCAGAACCTAGGTAGCTTTTGGCCCAGATGGTGCCAGCTTTGTTTGCTAATCTGCAGGTTATTGAACTTGTTTGGGATATTTTTTTGAACATCAGGTGTTCCCCTGACCTGCATGGTTCCAGGTAGATCGACACATCCACGGCTTCGGAAGCCAAAAACACACTTGCAATTGTGTCCTTTTCGATGAAGCGTTGATCAAATAGCGATCCTCCAAATCATGAACGGTTCGGACTCTCGTCCCTTTGGCGGACTCTCGTCCCTTTGGCGGAATCTCGTCCCTTCGGAAGTGTTGGTCAACCAGGCCCGGGTGATCCGGGCCTGGCTGCGGGTTGCTGATCCACAGCCGCTTTAGATGGGACAACCGATGGTGTTCAGATCGGTCTCGAAAGTCGAAGTGAGGTGGTAACCAGGTGGCGTCCATGTTACGAATCCAACGGGCCGTACGAATCCAACCATCAAATCATCATCCACGACTATGGCGTCCAGGTTTGAACCATCCTGAAACCAACCAAGTCCTTGACATGTCTTGACACGATAACTATTATAATAGAGACTAGCCTAAAGCCAAAGATAGCCAAAGCCTCTAGTATATCGACCATACATCCGACCTTGTTGGATTCGGGGCGCGTCTCGGCAGGACGACTCGTGAGGGTCCGAAAAGACGTTGGACTCAACTGAGGTCACTTCATGGCCAAAGATGCTGTGGCAGCTTGAGTGGAAGGCATAACAGGCCAACAGCGAAGAACCCGTCCAGATGAGCGGTGTAAGGACTTCCTCGCTGTCACTACCCTCGTCTCTCAGAAATATATATATATATATGTATATATTATATACCGACCCTAGAAGTCCAGTTCGACTATATTTTGACCGGCTGAAGTAAAGGAACTTCCCTTTCAGGTCCCCTAAAGACCATTCTTTTTATAGTCTTTGACTCCCAGGGTATATATATATATATAATCACCCACCTTGGAGTGTGAAGCCGGGCAGGATTCCTGGCCCAGATTTCATGATCTTGACCGAGCCGCCATCATGGTTTTACGAAGGATTCTAGACGACGACAACAGGTCAACCTTCCCTAGGGATCCAGTCGTACCTTCTCAGGTACGGTGGGACTGGGGTGGGTGCCAGGAGGGTCCAAGTGCCGTACCTGAGAAGGTACGACTGGATTCCCTACACCTTTGTTTTCAGGTTCACACTGAAGGCGACCAGGGTGCGACCGGTGTGAAAACACCGTTGGTGGTGCGACCGGCTTCGAGCTCGCACGAGTGACGTGAATCCAGACTCTTCCAACAGCCTAGACCACTCCCGACTTTAGGGAGTATACATATATACATCATGAGTTCCAGCAAATGAGTTCTAGCACGCCAAATTGTGAGATATTATTCCCTAAAAATCCAAGTACCTTCTCAGAAGGCACTTGGACCCTCCTGGCACCACCCCAGTCCCACCTTCTGAGAAGGTACTTGGACCCCTAGGGATTGTACGATGGTGGCGGCCATGCCGAGCCGTGAAGCACTGTAAGCGTCGAGTCCAGCGTCCGGACGCTTCGATGCGCTGAACCCGCCGGGCCGCCGGGTTCCGAGCTTGGTCGCCCGACCCGGGACATGACGTATGCCACGAAGAATGCCGAGCAATCAGTGCGGGATCTGAATATTCTGGTTGCTAGCCTTTGGATCCTGACCACTCACCATGAAGTTATGATCATTTCGTCCTGAACAGTAGGTGATGTTCATGCCGCTTAGCTGGTAAGTCCCAAAAATGCTCAACATAGAGATGCTCGCCAGCGGCTGTTGGTCGGCCAATGGTGGAAGTTCATGGCCCATGGCACAATTGTGGCTCCCAATGAACCACATTCCCTAGGGCCCCTGGCCTACCTCCTGAGAAGATGGATGCGGTGGGTTTTGGGGGTCTAACCACGAGCCGCAGGGGTTGGTTGCACTGGCCGTCGTGCCTGCGATTTCCCCAAGGGGGGGGCTGTCGGTGGGAGGACGGCGCAAGTGTAGTTGGACAAGTAATCCCGCAATTAGGTAGTCCGATGTCCAATGGTTCCTTGATCTCACCAAGAGCTGAGTTGTTTCTAAGAAATTTCAAGATTAGTGTGCGATTTCTTTGCAACTGCTTGATGTTGAGTTCAATCTTCCCACCCAAAATGTATTTCCCTGTTTTTGTGAGTCGCTTTCTGCTTGCCTAGCGTTCCCCACCCAAAGCGAATTCTTTAAATCTGGAACACCAGAGGTTGTTTGGTTGTTCCGTCAAGAGGCAGCCGTCTATCGGTGCCGCAAAGCACGTTGTGAATGTTTTTCAGAGGTGGGAAGAACAAAAGGGTTGACCATTGTTGACCACTTTTGAACAGGAGCTGGGATTCTGGGATTACTCACTCAGATCAGGTGATGTTAGGTCATGTTGGGTTCGACGCATCCAGATTGAAGGCCTAAAGCATCCCAAGAAAACACATGTTTGAGTTCAGTTCCTTCGATTCGCGTGCTTTTGACCTGAGTCTTTGCAGTCCGTGGATGTTCAGTTTCATCTCGAACAGCGATTCTCCTCGCGTGGCGAGCTGCGGGTCTGTCCGGGCCTTTTCGGGGCTTCACAACCCTAGAAGTCCAAAGACGATTTTGGCACCACCCAAGTAAAGGAAATTCCTTGTCGGGTCATCCAAAGACGATTTTTTGAATAGTTTTTTGACTTTCAGGGATAAGGTCATATCTTTTGTGGGGGGTCAGACACCCTCATGGCAAAGGCAAAGACCAAAAGCACCAGTCAGTTTGAAGGATTTTTGGGATTCAGGGATTCCTGGTGGGGTGTTTCTGGCTTTGATTTCATGCAACGTGTTGGCTAGGACCAGCCCGGCCTGACCCCCTTTGCGACGTCCGCGGGTCCTGGACTTGAAAGCGAAGGGGGGGAACTTAGTGGACTTCGTTTGATTTCAGTTGATTTCATCAAGGTCCAAGCACGCGCTGTTGTTTATCAAATTGTTTTTGCCTCGTCTTCACCTGGTACCGCACAGGTTTTGCTTGGTTGCCGTCACAGAAGGAGGTGTATGGATGGAAGCATTTGCAGCTTTCAGACTGATGCACCCACTGCCCCTGTGCCAACGCAGGAGGGCCGCAGCAGCTGAAAAGGGATAGATTTGTTGCAGGTGGCTCGATTCCTTCGCAGGCAAAGCTCCAAAAGGACCTGCAAAAGTGCCACGTTTGGCACAGCTGTGGCCCGCCCACCTAGCTCATCCAAGGTCTCGCGCGGCGGGCCCGGAGGCGACCCAGCATGTGGACTCCCTCTTTGCTTGTTTTCATTGCTTGGGTGGGCCAAAGCTTCGGAGCTTGCCTTCAGGTATTTGGGCTCTTCATACCCCGAGTTTTCATCGTTTCTGATGTCTATGATCTTGCAGCTGGCCAAGAGGGCAAGGCCGCACAGCCTGCAACTTGGACGTGCAAGCCTTGCGAACGTTCCTGCTCAAGTGGTTTGCTCTCGTTCAACCGTGACGAGGTATGCTTTTGCCTAAAGCCCTAAACCCCAAACCCTAAATGAAAGGGAACCTTTCAGTTTTCTAAGCAGAGGGCAGCGGCCAGCTTTCTCCCCAGGTGTGCGAATCTCTTGGCCGCCGTGTTGCCGCTGCTTGTCCCGTTCATCGCTGGTGCCAGAGAGTCGGCGCCTCCACTGGCAAGGTTGCCGCTGGCGCAGCCCTTGGCGGCTGCCATGGTTTTTCATTTTCCGCGCCTCTCGTACTACTGTGGCGGAGGTGCGGCAGACGGGAGGGCCAGGCCTGTATTTATGTTGCCTGTCCTGCCGTCATCCCAACGAACCCGCGTGTTCTGCAGAGTGGGATGATTGAATATGGCAACGGTTGCCCGATGTTAACGTTGGATTTTTGATGAAAGGGTCCGAAAGGGCGCTGTGTGGGCAACAGGATGTGAACAACACTAGAGCGGAACAATTTTTGGGAGGGCACGTAACGTCCCGTGGCACTCCGCATTGTCAGCTGGCAGCCTGGGCCGGGGGCGAGCCCTTGGTTCTTCCCCGGCTTGAGTCCTGGCGCCTGGAGAATTTGCCGGAACACGTAGGTTTTCTTTTTGTTCTGTTTTCCGTTTACGAAAAACAATGCAAGATTTTAGTAAGATGTTTGGAAATCGATCTCCGAGCTCTAGTTGACCAGTGTTAGATTTGAGGAGGGTCCCACACAAGTCGTTTCCATTTACCATGGGTTTGTTGGGGGTTCACGTGCTAATTCTCCATGCTTTCCCCATTTCAAAGTATAAAGTGTTGTTTCTGGGGCATGCCACGGGGCATGTGCCCGTCTAAGGCCTGAGCATGCGCCTCATCCAGGCCATCACTTCAGCGCTAGGCCGTTGGTCTTCAGCACGGCGCACCGAGGGCGACGCTCTCAGCGACGACTGCTGTCAGCTCCTGCTGGAGGCACCGATGGCTGCCAAGTGCCACAGGTCATCCATCCATTGACACGTTTGATGGGTACAGAATCTTTGGTTCCAGAATCCAGTGTGTTTTGTTTGTGATGTTCATGGACAAAAGGCATAGAATGATATACACCTGGACTCACCCCGACTGGGGCTTGACATGTGGTCCATCGCGCCCCTAGTCCCGGCGCTAGACATGTCATCAAACCTCACTCGGTGAGACAAGTGTGGATCTCAAGAGCCTCACGCCTCACATGGTCAGGGTCGCTGATCTGTCACCGCATACGGCTTTGATGTGATGCCCAGACACGACTAATGATTACCCCTGAAACAACCACCCCTGGCCGTTTCTCGGCAGTCCTATGGTAGTCCCATGTGTCGTGTTTGGGATGTTTCCGACGCAGTTCTTGCGACGTGGACTCTTCTGGAGGCCATTCTGGAGGATCATGGCCGCCCCATAGACGCAGGCGCCGGCGATGACTCCAGACCTACAGCGGTTGCGCGTGTCGAAAGATACCGGGGTTTTGCCAGAAAGGCGGGTGTGGGAAAGTGAATGAAAAGCAACGCTTGTAGTTCTTCATGTTGAAGTTTGAGATGTGGCAAACAGATCGGGCGTGCTTGTTGGTGAGAACGCCCGGAAGAACCCGGGGGTTGGTCTCATGCCATGCAGTCGGGAGCGATGGAACCCAGCTGAACTCATTCACCGGACCTTCCCGAAGCATGGAAGCCGTTCGCTCGGCGCAAACCACGAAGCGGGTGTTTCAAGCGAGGAGCTGAACACGCCAGGGTGGTTGATGTGGTTTCAGATGCCTTTTTTCAGCTTTGACTTGGGATTGTTGAGCCTACTGACTAATTTGTTCAAGTGAGTTGAAACCACCAAACATGAGAAGCCAGGCCAAGCGACGATCCTTTATTGTCAGGGAGGACATACAAAGAAGATTGAGACAGGTCTGTTTTTTTTCGCACCTTTGGGCCCTTTGGGCCAGGATCCAGCGCTTTTACTTGTCTTTTTGTGAATGCAACTTCTTCAACTCAAACATTCCATCCCTAGAAATCCAGACGTACCGACCCTCAGGTACGGCACCTGGACCCTGACACCCACCCCAGTCCCACCGTACCTGAGGTTCGGCACGACTGGATCCCCCCACGGCGCTGCCCGGCGATCGGGGACGCCGAGCGGGGGCGATCGGTGGCAGGCGAGCTCCTGGTGCCCAGATTACAAGCGGCCCTCGCCCTGCTGCAGATGCCCACTGAGAGTCCTCAAGGCAGCCAAAAAGCCTTCTCCATAGCGTCGGATCGCGTGGAGGTGTCCGAAAAATCAAGGCAGGCTCAGGAGTGCCAGGCATCTTGTGCTAGATGTCAATGTATGCTTACATGCTACAGGTCCTGACGCTAGATGCAGATATTCCAGTCCGGGTGATGCCCTCCGGCTCGCGCGGAGCGCGCCGGATAGGCGAAGTGTCTGCGGTCAAGCTGGCCAACGTGGTGGCGGCGTGGCTGATGGAGACAGTGGCTCGGTGGGGTCAGGGCTTCGAAGCGACCCAAGCAGCTGGGTTGGGATGGTGTGAGGCATGGCACACCCCGGTCCAAGGTACAAGGTATAGGTTCAGTCAAAACGTATCATGGAAGTATATAAAGGACTTCTTCGCCTGGGGGCCCGGAAGATCTCAGAGAGGGCTTCAGCAATCCTTATTTTCCCTCAGCAAATCCCCTGTTTTGATGGGAGTGTGTGCATACAGTAAGGTTTGTATGGGGTCATTCTAGTGGCGGCCCAGCTTTCCTGGAGTGGCGGGATTGCACGTTTGACTTCCTGAATGCACTCAGCTTGGAGAGGTACTTGTTGAAAAAAAACAGTGCTTGGTTCATCCCGATTGATGTGAAGCAAGATCGTTTGCGATGAAGCCATGCTGCCATGCTTATGACCTTCACTTGTGTGGTTCTAAAGCTCTCTGACGGTTAGTTAGGATCAATAGATAACGTCATAACGTTTCTTGAAGATTCTCTCTCTCACACCCAGAAAGAAATTCTTGCCAAAACAAAACATTTAGGAACACAAGATCCTTTTGGGAGGAAAACTTCCAGTGTGACCACCACCACCCTCCCCCCCCCAACAAAAATAGAAAGAACAACACACTGCAACCAAAAGCAAACCACCGAACTTATTTACAGCCTTCGGCATGCCGCCGGCCACCAGCTCGAGCCCGCATTGGCAGGCAGCTATCCACAAAACATTCACTACCTGACTGTGTTCTCAGATGTGTGCTCTCCTTGGTCTTCTGCTCTCTCATTCGCACTCATAACGCCCATACTCACTCTCATTCACAAGCATTCTTCCCTTCACTCACGCTTGCATTCATTGTCACACTCTCACTCATTCTCACTCGCTCACTGATTCGCTCACTTGCTGCGTGTTCCGGTGTTTGTATTCTCAGATGTGTGATCGTTTAGTTTGCAGATCTGCCCTCTGTGTTTTCTTACGCTGACTACGTCCACTGTCACTCTGACTCTCTCGCTCTCACTCGCACCCCCACGCCGACGCTCACTCTCACTCACATGGCTTCTCATTCTCACTCACGCTCGCTGGAACATTTCAAGGACGATCTGAATTCAGAAAAGGGGCAGTTCTGTTTTTGTAGGTGCTGCATTCGGATACCATGGTACGGCAGGTGTTGTTCCGATTTGGGAAAGTCTCGTTTTTCAGTGACCACCACCACCCTCCCCCCCCCAACAAAAATAGAAAGAACAACACACCGCAACCAAAAGCAAACCACCGAACTTATATACTGACCCCCCCCGGTGTCTGCAAGAAAAAGAAACTGACCTTCCCCTCTGACGCTCGAAGAGCTGACCTTCCCCCCCCGGCCCCGCTCCGCACGTGATGCCTTGACCGAGCAGGGGTCGCCCTTGAGGTGAGCACCTCGACCGGCTTTCAGGACCTTCACCGCTTCGACCGGTCGGATGGACCCAGCTCAGACGGCCGGACATGGCCGGCGCTGGGTCTTGGGTTGAAGAGACCGTAGGGGAAGAAGAGACCCTCCAGCAACTCTCGTCAGCTCAGGCGGACTAGGCTCAAGCTTCATGACTTCGGAGGGGCAAAGAACACACATAAAGAGAAACCCTCAAGTGCAGCAGCAAATGCAGGACAAAACATAGTACCTGGCATCGACCATCGATCCCTCAGTTCACCAGAAGGACATCATTCCCGGATTGTTGACTGATTGAACACCCCCGCCCCCCAGTGCCTGGAGATGGACAACTACTGTATTTTGTATGAGGGGTGTGTGTATGAATCAGTCAAGATGAGAGTCAGAGGGAACCTTTAAGTTTGTGCAGCTGTGGATGCTGAAATGCTCGGAATCCCTAGTTGTCGGGGGAGCTGACTCGGGTCCAGATCGAAATGGTAGAAACAAAATGAAACAATCCTTTCCAGGACCTTCAAAGTGACCTTTTGAGATCCTAGAGTGAGGTCACTTAGTCCCTAAAGAGGTCACAAACAGAGACTCCAAAGAGGTCACGTACTGAAGGTCCTGGTTATTACATTTTATTACAAGTTTTGGTTCAAGCTGAAGTCGACACATCCGGGTCGAACCATGAGACTCAAAAGCGGATCGTACATTGATATCTACCCCCAAGATGGCGCTCTTCTAGAACGTGTTCATTTGGCCAACATTGCCAGGCACCACAGCAGTTCTTCTAGGAGGCGAATACGCTATGTCATGCTCATGTCTTTTCTTGAAACACCCTTCGAATCCTTGGGCCCTCCATGGCCGGTTTCCGGGCCCTCGGCCGGTGAAACAGTTTCTTTGGCCAAATTCCGCCACTTCGGAGGGTTTTGGGTCGCTGGCTCCTTCGGTGGCGCTCCCTCATCCAGGACATGGATCATCCAGTGAAGGACCATGGCCCGGCAGACCGGAGGCACTTGACCTTTCAAAGCCTGGTGTGGCCACTGTGCCAGCAGGCTGGGGACGTTGGATTAGATGGGATTCTTTTTAACATCACCGGAACCCGATGATTGGCTGGGTGCTTCCTCAGGTGTGCCAAGCCGGGCTGCCTTCGCGTGCATTATGCAACCCGGCTCTGGCTTCAGGGGTTTCAGGCGAAGATACCTATGAAACTGCATTGCGACCAGCTGGTTGGCTACTTTCCCCTGCTGGTTGGCTCTACTCCTGCAGCCTTCAATATGAGATGTTCAGTCTCAACATGGCAGGTGGTGACTTGTTGGAGGATCCGGGTATAGAGGACTAGGAACTTGCCAATTGTGACCTGTCTTTGAAGCGGTCATGTTCGGAGTCCGTTTTTTGCTCCCTAAACCGCGCAGTGCGAATTTCCTATCCGGCGACCCGAGTGAATTGGTCAAAGCCATTAGGCCCTTGTTCTGGAATTGATGAACTTCCGGTGCCGCGAGAAGTGCAAATGCTGGAAGTGCTCCAAGGCTTCTTCTACCTTTGCGCCCGAAGGCTTTCAAGCTCCAGAACCCAGGCAGGAACACTTTCATGTTCATCTCACCTGGCTGTGGGTCATGGCACCAGGATACCTTTGTTGACCTACCTGGGAGGTCAAGCTACATAGCGGACCAGGGCTCCAGGTTTTGGCCCATCCCCACCTCTTTGCCAGAAGAGCTTAGTATCCATTCTTGTTCTATTTCTGGCACTGAGGGCTCCTTGTTGAAAGTTCCTGGGAACATCTGGGAACAACATGTCTTCCAAAATCTTCCAAGGCTTCCCCCGATGGGTCCCAGCAGGAGTCAGGGATGGATATAAGATAAACTAGGCAGACAGGCAGATAGATTTCTGGGCTTTTCAGAGCCGAAGATGTTTGGCTCTGGTGCGATTCTGGCCAAAACCGCACGGAGAAAAACACAACACAAACACCTCTCTCGTTCTCCCCTCGCTCTGCCTCTACCTTCGCTTATTCGCCGAGCCCCAAAAACAACGGAGCCGAGCACCCCTCGAGGTGCTTCGTGATGACTTTTGGCGCGAGGTCTTTCAAGTCTTTGCCACTTGGACCGATGCACTCGTCCTGGGCGCCACCAACTTCGGATGGTTTTGGTTGGGCAGCGGCCCTAATGGGATCGCCTGATCTCTTGCCAGGTTCCAAAAAAAACAGGCACCCTTCACCACGCGGAGGTGGGCTCGTAAACGGTTCCCAGTTGACGCCCACCCCACATCCCATCGTCTACTGCCAACATCAACCAGCCAGCTTGGAAATCAGCACCTCGATGATCGCGTCATGTGACCCATATGTCACCTCTTAGGTTCTGAAGCACTCGGCTCTAGCACCCTCGTCACTCCCAAGCAGCTGGCACGTTTTGCAGCCATTCTCCGGAGAAGGCCCGGCCTCCACGGCGTAGCCAATTATGCTGCATGTGTGCAAAGCGAACTGAACACCGCATGTGCACATACTCCCAGTTGTTGTGGCGAAGATGATGGCTCTGGAGCCGAGAAGGACTTTGGGTCTAAGTCATCAACGGGGTTCCCCAAACCATTGAGACTCCAAAGGATCCAAAAGGCCCTCAGTTTCCCAAAGAATTGGGGCATGCGTTTTGGAGGCCTTAGCGGCGGTTCGCTCCCAGAAGATCGTTTTGATTAATTTTGGGGGCGTACTTTTTCGAGTTCTGGGAGGCAGTTCTTTCCCGCGCGTGGCAGCGTCTCATCCGTTCCCATCTCTTCTCCACCGCCCTGGGCAGACGAGAAAGAAGCGCGCCACTTCCCAGCGCTGTTGGTGGCCGCCTGGATGCACGCTGCGCCGTTTGGCGCGGAGAGTGCCTCCTACGAGTGCCTTTGGCGAGGGGGCTGGGGTCGCTTCGTGTGCAAATATCGCCCGGACACGACACATGGGACTGCCATATTTGTTGATCATGAGGGGTGGTTTCAGGGGTATTAATTCTGGAAGGGTGAGACCTGAATGAAAGGACCAGATTGAGATAGATTGAGTCTCCTTATATAACTATGACTATGACCTTACCTTGCAGGTACACTGGGGGCATCTGGTAGCATCAAGAAACAACACTGATCATGATGAAGCAGGCTTTGGCGGACGGGCTTGAAGACCTGCGGACGGTCTAATCGTTGTAGGCCTGAGCTTTGGCCTCCGGGGCTACCACATCCGAAGGTCAGTTCCACCCCCCTGGTACCCATCTCAACTCCTGTTCCGTTCCGGAGACGCCGTAGCCAGCCTCATGGGCCTTCAATTCTTGGCTTCATTTCGATTCCGCCGTTCGCTTCCTGCGCCGCGGAACCCGCGGAACGCCGGCGCTTGGCTGTGCGAGCACGGACCGGGCAACTCACCTTCCTTCGCACGTGGACCGAGCTCACGGAGCTTCCTTCGCAGGCTTTTGGTGACTCTTTGCGCGCAAGAGTTGCAGCAACCTGAGGGTGGGGGACCTCAGACCTGAGCCGTCAGGAGCTGTCAGGAGCCGTCGAGCTGCAACAGCTGAGCCTGATGACCACGGGTGACCGCGGGTGACCAGGACATGGAATCTGAAGAGCCATTCATCTGTGGGGGTGCAGCATCCGTGGAATCTGAACCCATTTGCTTTGATAGACAGGCTTGAGGCAAATGAGGTGGATCACAGGCTTGAGGTTGGCAGGCTAGACAGGCTTGTGACAGGCTTGAGGTGGATCACAGGCTTGAGGAATGATCAAATTCACCATGAAACGGGGTCAATTATGGTCAATCAGCAAGGACTTTCGGGGAGAATGAGCAAGACTGGTCCATGTGATCCATTGTGGGCATGCTCTAGGCATGCCTTACTTAGCACAGGCTAGGGTGTAGGTCGCCTGCCACTACCAGCTCTTGGCATGTGGAGGGAGTTCCATGGCAGTACTACCTACACCCTGTCATCTCAGCAATGGAGGCAGTTCCATTGCTGAAGCCTCAACCAGTTCCATGTGGTCCATGTGTTCAACTTCTGGAAGAACTGCCAGCCATCAGATTGGTGCACCAGGTTTCTTCCAATGCACCAAGACTTGGGGGGGTCCAAGCCGACTCTCCCTGGGCCGACTTATGAACAAGTCTACTGACAGACGCCTTATCCCAGCACCAAACACTTCCCCGGGGCTGAAGTGGGCGGTGTTCGACATGGAGGTGCTGGTGCTCCAGTGGCGGTAGTAGATGAAGCCAGATGAACCCGGAGGAATCGGCGAAACCCACTCATCACACTCATCATCCACCAAGTCACTGGGTGACTTTGCTGGAATTTCCAGGTCTCCATGCCCCATGTGCCTGGATCCTGGTCGAAGCCGCAGCGTACCGCAACGCCCGGACGCTGCAGCGTTCTGATGCGCCACTGCTGCAGCTGCGCGCGGAGCTCCAAGAGCTGCTGAATGAGCAGAAGGGCCAGAGCTGCTGGGTGAAGGAAGTCAGAGAAGGGGTGCGAGTGGGGTACAGGTACAGGTGGGCATGCAGGTATAGATAATATAGATATGGTATATTTGGGTACTTATTGAAGTTGGTTAGGTCGGTTTGTTGATACGTAGGGGAGTTCTATACTTCTGCTACTTACTTGCAAATTTTACTTGCTTAACATAGTTGTATAAGTTCACTTAACATTACCTTAAATAGCCTTAAATACTTTGCTTACTTGCTTATACATACTTATGATACAGTAAGTTAGCTTGTGGATGCTTGTGGAATTTAGGTACCATTTTGGAACGTCCGTCAGGGGCTTCCTCATCATCTAAGAGGCCTGAACATGTTGGTTTAGGGTGTGTGTATATTATATATATATTATTTGGGTTTTGAGTTATCAGAATCCACAAGCTTCGCTCTGCAGAAAGCAAAACCATCCTCGTAAAGTTTTTCCACTCACATATAATATGTTATGACATGTTATGAACCCAACACGCGAACCACTGCGCCGCTCTCCTACAAAGAATCCAATATTTGATTCCTGCGATCTCAATTCCTGCAATTGCTGTGGCACTGGGTGTTTCCTCTCTTTCCTGAGCTGGGGAACCTGAACTCCTGTTCTTAAGGAGAGAAAGGAGCGATTAGGTCAGGTGAGTTTTTTTATGTTGTGGAAAGTCTGGCGCTGTTCCTGGTTCTTGAGCAAGCTTGGCATTCACCTGTTACATTGCTATGCAGTACATCGAAACATTCATGCCACGGTCCGGGTTCAGATTTGGATGGTTTGGGGTTGTTCACAGCTGGCTTTGGGAGGGTTCATCCAGAGTCGCAATGAGTTGCGCCCAAGGATGCCCCATCTTGGAGCACCTCTCGGCAGCTTTGCCTTTGCTTTGACCGGAGCTCCAAAACAAAGCACTTCGTTGTGTACGTGTGCAACGGCTCGTCACGAGATGTCATGAGCTGTGTCCAAGTATTTTGGAAGGGCGTGCGGGTGATGTAGTTTTAAAGAAATGAGAACAAAATGATCAACTTGTCAGAAGGTTGGCTGTGACACTGACCGGATGCTTGGCTTGGCTCAAGCTAGGCTCAAGCTTGCTCCATGCATTTTTTTGGTGATTTGGTGGGCACCGCACGCTCCATGAATGTGCTGGCTGAGACCGTCGTGGCCGTTGTCGCGCTGCATGGCGTGCATGGCCAACGTGGACCCAGAGCACAAACACGAGTTGTCACGCCCGCAGGGGCCCATGGGAGGGAGTTTGCCCAGTTTGAATTGTTGCCTGTCCTCATCGCCGGCTCGCTAGCAGTGCGCGCGATGCGCCAGCGTATTGGATGCAGACGTGATCGTGGCCGCCGTGTGGTGATGGCTGCATCACCAAGGATGCAAACCAAACTTTTAGTTGATGCAGACTCTCATGGCATCGAACTCCTTAGAGATGCAAACAGTTTATTGAAGCGAAACAGCCAAGAAGTCCACACAACAGTGTTTGCACCACCCGGCCGCACTGACAACAAGAGATGGGCTGAATTCCTGCAAGAGCCTGGCATCAGCTTCCAGCCAGTTTCTCGATCCCGAAGGCATTCACGAGAGCCCAACGATGAAGCCATAGTGAAAGCCATGTACCAGCTGTCCCGTCGTAGCGACATAGATTGCATCGCATTGTTGACCCACGATGCGGGCTACATTGACACCCTGACACAGCTCAGTGCAGTTACGGGCAGTGCTAGCTTTGTAGTGCTACTCCCTGAGGACAAAGTTTCCCTAATTTCAAGATACCAGGATAAAGGTATTGAAGTGCTGAAGTTGAAGACCATCAACAAAGACACCCACTCGAGGGTCCGGGCCACCCTTCATGGCGATGGGACTGGCTCGGTCCAACTGACAGATCCATACGAAGGTGTTGAGAGTCTGCAAGTGTCAGAAGCCGTTAGGAGCTTTCTGGCAGACTTGGGATATGCGCGTTCCGGTGTCACTGGCACAGACTACTTGGCCCCAGCTTGTGCCAAATTCTGGTATGTCAATGAGCTGGGGTCGCTGACCGTTTTTTCCAAGACAGCTTTCAACACTGGCAGTGCAAGAAGTTATGGCTCAATCAACATCGGACGGTTGGGCACGATATCGTGGAGAGATGGCATTTTTTTTGCCCATGTCTAGCCTGTCAAAAATCACCAAGACAGGGAGACAGACATATGGAAATAAAACCGCTCGTGGTATCTTCCGGGGTGGTGGCCCCTTTCTTTTGCAAGATTCAGGACAATTGCTTTCTTTGGCGCTAGAACGGCTGCACTATCTCGATAATGATTTAAATGCAGATGAAGCCGAGGCCATTTTGTGTTTTGTAAATGCTGGGGCGAACACGACCCTCTTAAGGAAGATGGATTTGCTACCCCATCTCTCAGACAACGGCAACAACGTGAAGCAGAAATTGCGAGCGGCATTTCTCTCCCATACGCATTCAGGCATGTGGATTACTTTGCGCAAACAAGAGAATATGATAGTGGACATCTTAATGAAAGCGGGGTTCCTTTCAAAATCTGATCGCAATCTTTCACGGCATCAATTGTTTGATGTCATGAAGCTCTACTCTGAATGGAAGCAGCTGCCGCCCATGAAGACCTTTAATGGCCGTGCTTTCAGGATTCTCAGGGCCAACGAGAGGAATCCCAACAAGAGGACGGTCATCGAAATTCCTAGCCCCGTGGCCCGCAGTTGCCCCGTTTCTCGTGCGTCGAACCTGCATGCTCGCATGCAAAAAAGAGCGCAGCTGGGAATTGGTTGGTCGAGTTCCGGAACCCAAAAGGCGCAGTTCAGGCCCTGAACTCGAAAAACCTCGAAGTTCGGCCCTTCCTTGCGTTCCTTGGCTTGCTGGTCTCTGGACATGCTTTGGAATCAAGAATCGCCGAACGATGATTCGATCTTCCAGTGGACTGAAGTACCTGCGAGGTGCGACAAAAGTTGACCCTGAACCGGGTCGAAGACACAGCCACTTGGCACGCACACAGTTTTATTGTTTTTCTTCGGAAGGAGGGGCGATGATCAGGGGCAACTTTCACCCGATAGATTCCCCATTGTTTTTAAATCAGCTTGACCAAGGTTTTGCTTGACCAGTACTTGGGCCTTGCTTCCCTGCCAGCTTCGGCTGCCATTCCTTAAGAAAGGCCCCATGGGGCGGGGCTTTTTGGCCTGAAACCATTGAGCATCGAACTAACATCTTCACACAGATCAACCATCGATCCTTCCCTCCGAGTGGCTCAAGCTCTTGGCTCTGCTATTGACGGACCGATGGAGCGAACCGCCCAGGAGGGTCTCATGAGCTTCTTAGCTGACATCGGGGTAGTGGAGCGAACGGCCATGAAGAGGAAGGCCTGGACATCGCCGGTTCGTGGAGGAATCTCCGCAAGAGCCGATTGCAGATGGAGTGAACGGCTGAGCTTGAGGTATATATATATATACAATGGTCAATGATTCATGGATTAGATTTTTAATTAGCTAGTGGGAGAGTTTGATTATGTTTGATGTACATAGATGGGAACATGAGATGATGTGTAGCCTACTGCCACAAAATAGGTAGATAGAGATCCGTGAAGAACATATCCTATTAAAACCGTCATAAAAAGACCGCCCGCCCGTCATGTTGAGCCTCATCTGCGCATGGATGCCTCATCCACTGCCTGTAGGCGGTGCATTATTTGTCGCTCTACCGCCGGGTGGAGCGGTATGTGCAGATGTGGAAGCGTGAGGATGAAGAGGGCCATGAATCCAAGGTCGGGCGGAACGGCCGAGAAAGGAACAGAAGGAACAAGGCATGTCTGTGATTTGGGTGGTTTCTCTGAACATGTTCAACCTTTAACTGAACGAAAGCGATGTGATTTGGGTGGTTTCTCTGAAGATGTTTATAACCATTTAACAGGGCGAAAGAGAGGTGATCTGGAGTCCGTGGGTTTCGTTGACACATGTTCAACCTTATGATTTGGCGACAGAGAGGTGATTTGGGTGATGGTCTCTTTGGAAATGTGATTGAACATGATTGAAGCCACTGACTCGGATGTTTCAAGTGAGTTAGAACCCAGCAGCCAAAAAGGACTGGGCTCGAGCTTGTGTTGGATCCGAGTAGCTGAGTTGCGTCCGTTCAGGTTGGGCACCGGACATGACCACGTGACCGGACCAGAGAAACACAGAATGCCCGGCCGGCCATGACCCAGACACGACTAATGGGACTGCCAGTTCGGACTGCCGCCCCATTGACCCCTCATGGCCCACCCCAACTGATCGGCAGTCCTATGGCAGTCCCATGGAGTGTCTGGGTGAGGTGTCTTTGCGACGTTTCTCTCGGGCAATGAGGTTCCTTGTCGGTCCAACCGGGAGAGATGTAGGTTCCTCGTGGATCCTTCGCTCCGCATGAAGGAGCTGATCGTGGACAGCCGCGATCTGGAAGAGTTCGTGCGAGAGGTGCTGAAACATCAGATTTGGTGGGGTGCTATGGATCCTTGGAGGCCATGAGGAGACTATATGGCTGTGAGTCAAAACAAGAGCCGCAAAACCTGGTAGGTTGACCTCTTCAGTAGTCCATTCCGTCATCCAGGTAGCCCGGTTTTGATCCACACCCATATATCATCATATATCCCAGTCATAGTAAATCGAGTTACGTCTAGCTGTTGCGAGACCCCCGGCTGCGATGAGGTTCGCCGCAGGGCCCGAGTGGAAGGGAGTTCCCCAAATGTCCGCTGCTACTGGCCAGTACCCATAGGACTGCCAATCAGGCCAGGAGTGGTTGATTTCAAGGGGGTCTTTCTGGGGCGGCAGTCCCAGTCCTGAGTGTTTGGGGTAGAGTCACCAGTGGTTCAGACCAAAGCCGCAGACCCAACGAAGCCCTGGTGTTCCGTTTTTTCCAAGTAGCAGTCACTGGTCCGGCAAGCTTGACCCGGCAAGCTTGACGGGCCCATGTGGGTCATGGTCTGGGGATGTTTTTACTAATGTCAATTAATTACAATATATGAACTATAGAACGAACCTGTAGACAAGGAAAGCAGAAGGAAGCAACTTGGACCAACATGGACCAACTTCTTCCCCTTCTACGTGACCTGCTTCACCGTTTTCATCTTCCCCCACCTCAAACCTCATATGAGCATTCGCATACACTCGCAATTCTTTGGGTTTTGGAACCTCTCACTTGGGAACAATCAGTTCTGAAGTCAGTAGGGACTGTAGGACTGAACATCAGTGCTTGGATAATATACATTGACCGGTCTTGGCTGGTGTTGATCTGTCTATGATACGAATCCTCTTTCTTGGGTGAACAGCTCCTGCACAGGCCGTGGTCACTCGCTCGACAGACGCGTCTGCGAGACCTCGACCTCGACCTCCAGACGCTGAGATAAGGAGAGCATCTTGCGGTACATCGGCTTCCCCTTCGGCGAGGGCGACAATTGCCTGGGCCGCGAGTTCGTGATGCGCGAATACGCCGGGGAAGCCCAGAGACGTGGAAGTTGCTGATCTTCGGTGTGACCCACATGTTACAAGCTGAAAGCCATGGGTTGTAAAGGAAAATCATGTTCCAAAGGTCCATGCCATCAGGTTCTATGTGAATCGTCCCGGGTGTAGGTGGGAAAGAGTTCTGTGGCCCAGCGCCTACAAGGAGCTTCCTCAGTGTTTGGTTCATGCCATCCACGTCACCATGATTTAATCTAATTTCAGGGAGTGTTTGTGAAACGAAGAATGTATGGAATCTAAACTTTGCACATCTTTGCACCATTTGCATTTGCATCTTGAATACCGGGATATGTTTTGCTCCCAGTGCTTCAGTGCGCCAGCGATCACACAAGTTGCTTGACCAACAATGTATAGTTCCAGTTGCTTCCCTCGAGCCAGGTTCACCCGGACAGTCCAGAAAAATCCAGAGTCCAGCCCATCTACAGGCGCAGCTTCGACCTGCCCAGGAGTCGCAGAGCACCAAGGACGGCTTCTTACCGGCGGATAAGATCCTGGACT